ATAATTATGGCACAACTATACGGCACTGTTGTTAGTTGCCACCTGGCCCAACAACAACATATGATGCAATACTACATAGCCTTTAAAATTGATATTGGTAGGAGGCTATTTAATCGCATCACGAGACTAATGACATATTTTATGTGGGAATAAGCAGGTCAGAATACAATACACACATACTGACCCCATTTCAAACTATTCGTGTATATGTGTGTGTTTGAACATACACACCCATGAATAGAAGTAATCCTGGAAAGACATATTACCGTATGTTCTCTCTGAGTGGTAGGACTATTAAAAAACAAACAAACAAACGAAAAACCCATTGCCATCAAGTCGATTCTGACTCGTGGCAACCTCATGTGTTACAGAGTAGAACTGCTCCATAGGATTTCCTTGGCTGTAATCTTTACTGAAGCAGCCAGGCCTTTCTCCCACGGAGCTCCTGGGTGGGTTTGAACCACCAACCTTTTGGTAGTCTGCCAAGCGCAAACCATTTGCACCATCCAGGGACCTTGGTAGGATTATAGGTGATTTGAAAATTTTCATCCCCACGCTTTCCAAATTTTCTGCAATAAACAGTTTTCTAACCAGGAGAACGTGCTATGTTATTTATTTATTTTTTTAATTCGATTTGCAACAACTGGAATCATAGATTGGAATCCTAACTCCTTCCTATTCTCCTACCACTTCAGCCTTTCTTGTGGCCCTGCAGGGGGTTACTGTGAGCTGAGATGTGCCTCCTGAGCAGGAAGGGTGGAAAGGCAGAAAGCCAGAATTTACATGAGGATAATTCCAGCCTCCTCCTCGCTCAGCAGAATAAAAAGCCCAGAGATAGGGGCACTTACAGGAAGTGCTGGGATGAAAATCGTCACGTAGTCCTGGGTTAATCTGCAAGAGAAGGAGAAGCATGGAGCTGACCAGGGGTGGCCCAGGGAAGGCAGGGCCTTCTCCACTCTGACCTCTGTGACCGGGTGGCTGGGCTGCTTGCTGCCCAAGGGACACCCTGGGCACCAGGGTTTGAGAAGAGGATTTATCGGGCTCTGCAGAACTAGGCTAAAGCGTGTGAAACCTCAGCAGTCAGGGATCGCTGCTACGAGATGTTAGAAGGTGCCAGGAGCCGGAGCCCAAGGCACTGGGTCCTCATGAGTAGGGAACCTACATTTCGTAACATGTAGTTTGTAGGGAAAAAAAAAAAAAAAATCTTATCAAGAAATAACCAAGAGAAGTGTATGTAATATAAAATGAACAAGGCATCCCAATGAGAGTACGCTTCTACATTTAATAATAATCTATGTGTAAATCATCAGAAGTTGGCTCAGTCCTCTTTCTCCTTTTGGAATATGAGGTAGCACACACTTCATTTCTTCAAAACGCATTTATGAAGCTGCTGCTATGTGGAAGGAGCCCTGGTGGCACAGTGGTTAACCGCTCGGCCTCTAACCAAAATGTCAGCAATTTGAATCCACCAGCCACTCCTTGGAAACCCTATGGGACAGTCCTACTCTGTCCTGTCCCATAGGGTCGCTATGAGTCGAAATGGACCCGACGGAAACGAGTTTCGTTTTTGTTTTGTTTTGTTTATTGTACTTTGCGGCAAGACGCAAATGCAAATCCCAAGGTATTTCTCGCCTTGGTCGCTCAGTTCTGCCCCTGCTGGTCACAACTGGAGCAGCATGCCATAGCGTCCCTAAAGACACTGCACTTGGGAGCACTGGTGGCCAAGAGAAGCAAGGGCCTGGGAGACGGGCTTCCTCTGGGTTTCCCGCCCCAGGTTTCCCTGGACCTTGCAGAGTCCCAGGCTTCCTGCAGGAGCGAGCGTACCTGGACACGGCCGGGTCCTGCCGGAGGAGCAGCAGGAGCTGCTCGGTGTTGAGGAAGAGCGCCCAGCAGGGGAAGCAGGAGAGGAGCAAGACAAGCGCACCCCTCTGCAGGATGACGCCCACATGCTTCTTGTTCTGGCTGCCGAAGCTCTGCAAAACCAGGCAGGTCAGGCCAGGCCAGGCCAGTGTTGCTCGCCCCCACCGCCATCACGCCCTAGCGCTCCCCTGCCAGGGATGTTCAGCGAAAATCCCGGCTCCGCCACGTGCTGGGGCCGTCGTGGGGAGAGGCTCCGGGGTGTGTGACGGCCCAGCGCACCGTGTTGTTGTTAGTTGCCGTCTAGTCGATTCGACTCATGGCGACCCCATGTGTACAGATAAAACTGCTCCATAGGGTTTTCAAGGCTGTGACCTTTCAGAAGCAGATGGAAAGGCTAGTCTTCCAAGGCGCCGCTGGGTGGGTTCCAACCACTGCCAACCTTTAGGCTAGTAGTCAAGCGCATAACCTTTTCTCTTGTGCCACCCAGGCTCCCTTTTCCCTAAGTGCACCTCCAGTCACAGCCCAGGGGCTCACCTGCTCATAGAATTATAACAGGGGCTATTTATACCTTCCATGCAGGAGGCTCAGGTTCCATTCCGGCTAATGCACCTCACGCGTAGCCACCACCCATTTGTGAGTGGAGGCTTTTGTGTTGCTGTGATGCTGAACAGGTTTCAGTGGAGCTTCCAGACTAAGAAGGACTAGGATAAAGCCCTGGCGGTCTACTTCTGAAAATCAGCCAGCGAAAACTATATGGATTACAATGGTCTGATCCACAGTGGATCGTGGGGGTGGCCCAGGACCGACATCATTTCGTTTCACTGTGCATGGAGTCACCATGAGTTGGGGGCTATCGATGGCAGCTAACAACAACAATAGCTCCATGCCCTTCCACTGTCCACCCATTGTCTCCGCTGTTCTTCAGAAGTGCCTCACGAGGATGATATTATTCATTCCATTTTACAGCGAAGGTCAGTGAAGCTCGGAGAACCGTTGATGGGCCAGCACAAGGGCCAGGTCCCTGCAGCGCTTCACTGGAGGATTTGTGGCCCACTGTAGCCTGGGCACCACCCTTGCTGGGACACGGGCAGGAAAGTCCCATCCCGTGTCCTCAGTGTCTGACACGGTGCTGCAATAGGCAACTTAATGGGGTGTGTTTGGGGGGCGGGGGGTTGCTGGGCAGGGTGAAGAAGTGAATGAACCACGTTACGAGTTGCAATTTTTTTTTTCTCTTTGGTGGCCTCCACTGGGGCAGCCGACCAGGGAACCGTTTCTATGCCTTTCTCCTACACGGCTCCTCTCACCAGCCTGCTGGTCTCCCACAGGGTCAAGCCAACACCTGGTCTCTGTCCCTGACGGCTCACAGTCCCTGGAGATGGGGCAGCTGACCCCCAGGGCCTGTCTGTAGCACTAAGGCTTGAGGTCCAGGAGGGGCAGAGAGGCCTTCAGTGGGCCCTCCTCCTGCTGTTCCTGCAGCGCCCGTCGGGACTACTCTTGCCTTGCCCAGCCACCTGCCTGCCTCCAGGAGGCTCCCTACCTGGGACATCAAAGTGTCACACGCCGAGGCCAAGCCAAATCCCACGGAAACGCCGCAGACATTGACAAACTGGAGCCGCTCACAGGAGAAAACACAAGGGCTTGTCAGGTGCAGATTTAGGAGAGAACCCTGTGTCTGGGGCGAAGCCAGGTCGCTAGGGCCTCGGGGGAGGCTGTCCCGGGAGGGAAATGGGGCCTGAGACAGCTCTGAGTGCAACTGAGCAAGGACCTTCCTTCTGGCCCTGGCTGTGTCCTAACATGCTCTGTCGTGTGACCTTGGACAAAACTCTTCCCACCTCTGGTCCTTGGGCCCATCTGCGGAATGCAGCAGTCAGACCAGATGGTCTGAGTCACCCTGCCTGACCCACCCCACTGTCCAACAGCAAGCCTTCCTGGGGGCTGGCGGGTACTCACAGCCACCGCGAGTGTCACAGATGCCAGTTCCACCTTGCCCAGGTGCCCACAGAACACCGTGCTCACCACGTAGATCAGGAAGGTCAGCACCTGGAACAGGAACTGGGGGCAGCCTCAGGGTCAGATGGGCCAGCTGGCCCCACATGTAGGCTCCTGCCTGTGGCATTCCTGCCGCCTGAGGGAGACCCTAGCACTTCACCCTGCCCAGCCCTGCTTCTCAGCTTAGCAAAGACCCCAGGCATCCTCAGCCCTCACAGCCCAGCACCTTCCTCAAGGCTAGTGGGCAAGAATCACCCCTGCCCTGTGCTGAGGGGTCTCTCCTGGGGAACACTACCACCCTCTGGGCAAATGTTGCTGTACAGAGCTGGACCCGGGATGCCAGCAGTGTGGCCCAGGCTTGCCAGGAGCCAGGGCTGGAAGCTAGGAGACCTCCGTCCTGCTCCCCTCCTGCCACCAGCGGTGGCGTGATCTTAGGTCATCCCTTTACCCCTGGGCTTCGTTTCCTCCCTTCAAACTGTAGTAACGCCTGGGGAGCACTTTGCACAGTGCCCGGCACACAGCAAGCTTGCTATAAATATCCCATACTGCTATTGCTGTTATGATTGTAATAAAGTGGGAGAACTTGATCAGATCATATTAATAAAGGGTGAAATAAAATACACCAAAATCTTAACAATGGTTATTTCCAGGTGGTTAAATGGGAGATGGATTTCTTTCTTTCTAACTTGGGATATTGTCTGAAGTTTTTACAGGGAGCACATATTTACTTCCCGTGTGATCAGAAATATACATATAAAGCTATTTTCACTTGGAAATAGGATGGGCAGGAGGTTCCTTCTCCCCTGTCTGAGACCCCCCACAGGCTCCGGGCATCAGTGAACCCCATTTGCCCTCTCGGGATCTTTCCTCTGAACCTTGCCAAGGGTTTCCAGCCTCTCCGAGTGGGGCTGCCTGTGCTGAGCACACCTGGCCCCCCGTCACCCAGGCACTGCCCTTGGCCTCGAGGGGTCGTCCTGCTATCACCAGCTAAGGGCAGGGTCCTGGGGCAGGTCGGGTGCCAGCGTTGGTGGTTTTTGGGGAAAAGTATGAGCAGCCCCTGGCACACCCCCTTGTCCTGCCTAGGCAGCAGCCACCCACTTATCCCCCAACCCTGCCTGCTCCCCAGCCCCGCCTGCTCACCAGGGGTCCGGAAAGGACAAAGAGCGTCCGTGCCTCAGCCCCAAAGCCCACGGGGAACAGCCTGCGGAGGGCAAGGCAGCAGCGCCCGTGGGCCGAGGGCCCTGTTTCCTGGAGGCTGTCCATCCCAAGCCGGTCCCAGCCACCCTTCAGGTCGGAATGCTCTCTCAGCCAGCTTTGTACAGCCATCCAAGGCACCCCTGACTGCCACCCCGTGTCACCTTACAGCCTGGCTAATAAGTAAGGGGTGAGAGGAGGGGGAGAAGCGGTGAGGAGGAGGGGCAGCCGCAGCCTGCAGCCACAGCAACCTGTGGGATGTGCCCTGCCTCCTGGGGGCACCTTTCAGTCGTGTGACCTTGGACCCGCTGGCCCCAGCCACAGAGTGAGACTGCCCTAGGGGGCACAGGACAGAGTCACCCAGTCCAGTGCCTACTTTTGACTCCGTCTGCTCGCCCAGAGGGGTCAGCAGGAAGCCCTCAGAAGGAGAGATGCTTGGGCTTGTTCCCCATGGCCGTCAGGAGGTGTGCTGGGGCACGAGGGGGAAGAGCTGGGACAGGCTGAGATGGGTCCCCACACGACTGTGCCCCAGCCTCCTAGCACCGTAACGACTCCCATTTACAGATGAAGGACTGAAGCATCAGAGAGGCGGGTGGCTTGCCGGGGTCACAGAGCAGGCAGAGCTGGGGTTCCATGCCCCTGCCCCTGTCCCTGTCCTGTGGGGGAGCGAGGTGGGAGTGGGCTTGCTGGTCGTAGCATGTCCCCTGGCAGTTTCCTGCTGAGTGGGGCTCGGGTTGGGGACAGGAGCTGGCCTACCTGGGAGGACTGCCATTGCCCTCGCACTGCCCGCTGCCCCTTTTAGTAGATGACTGAGGACCAGGCATGACTTGGCTCGGGAAAGCAGCCCCCCCACTCCCGCCCCCATCCTCCATTTTGCCCACGGAAGCTGTCGTTTGGTGTCCCAGCAGGCTCCTCTCTTGCTCAGGTTGCCCTCTCTCTCTTCCATGCCTGTGACCCACTGACAGACAGCAAGGCAGTGCAGATATGGGAGACTTTACCTGCCGCCCCCTTTGGCCCAGCCTGGATCAGGCTTCAGAGTGGTGTGCTCAGCCCAGGAGAAGGAGGGGTGAGTAAGAAGGGCCGTGAGGAGCAGCAGGTAGGACCAGGTCCGGTTCCCTTGTGTGCCTAGCAGGGCCGGATTAAGGCATGTGAGGGCTCTAAACACTGATAACCTGTGGTGCCCCTTCCTCTGCTTATTCGCACATTTGTGAGTTATATGTGAGTTATACATATACATGTATGTATGTGTGTGTGTGTGTGTGTGTGTGTGTGTGTGTGTGTGTGACTTAGCTATCCATGATGTAACTTCTTTTCAAATGCGACTATAATACTAGTGATCGAGCGCAAAAGTGGTGTATGCCATTTTGGCAAAATGAGATGAGCTGGGTTATAAAATTTTTAGTGCATGTGGGGTGCTAAGATTTTTACTATATACCACATTTTCTACAAAAAGAACATTGCACATATTCTACGGCAAAGAAAATGAATCAGTGAACTTAGTTATTTCAACAATCAACGTAAAATTCCGTTGAGCTCCCACAACGAAAAGTTGAGTTTCGGCAGTTCTGCTTTAAACGGCTCGTACTTCGATTTTGATGCTTTGTAATAAATGCTATAATTATAAATGAACAAATGAAAAGATGTCATAAAAGAAAATTTAATGATCAGACAACGAATATTACCACAAATTACTAGATTTTATTTTTAATACAATTAAAATAATTAAAAACATTTCTTTCTATTCTTTGCTCTTACAAATTCTTCCATGATTTCATCACAAGTAAGGTGCCGAACAATATCTACTTCCATACATAACAAAGATAGTGAATCGAGTCTTTCTTGAATCCTTGTTGTACCCTGAGGGTTTTTGAGTCTCTTAAGGGACGAAAATGAGCTTTCTGTGGTGCAGTTTGTGATCATTAAAGTTAGGAATATGCATAAAGCAATTTCAACATTGGGAAATACGCGTCGTATTTTATCTTCTGTTATGGAATCATACATGCCTACATGAGTAAAATTTGTCTTTCCTGAATCTGTAAACTTACTTCTCACATAAGAATGAAATTGTCGCACTTCTCTGTAAAGCTTTGTATTTAAGTCATCGGGATTAAGCGTGCACTAATCTCTTGGATGCCTTCATGAGTTCTTCATCAGGTATATCTCCATGGTTTATGAAAGAAAATCTATTTGAAAGAACTTCACACACTTTCGCCCTCCTTTTCATGCAAGATTCAAGTGTGTCAATGATGGTGTAGTATGTGATTATGCAAATTTGATCTCTGGCACTCAGTGATACTTGGGGAACACTTCTGTCATTTACTTGTTTCTTTGTAATGCTTCTGCGACAGTGAACTGCTTGATAATCAGCATTTGGCAGTATTTGTTTTGTTGTGTTTTCAAAAATTTCAAAATCTTCTCTTAAATTAGGTAAATACCCTGTTAATGACTGGTAGAGATCTGTGCATGTCTTTAGGTTTGCTTATGAATCTTGGAGAGCTTGACTCGTCCGATGGAAATGATGCGATGTATTTATTATATTCCACATAACCAACAGAAATACATACTCTGGCATCTGCATTTTATTGGCAATGTTTTCAGCTTCTCTTTTGGTATCTCCTTTTTGTGTCTGGTCTTTAGCAACATTTTCTAAGGCATCTAGAATCTGAGGGTACGATGCCAGCATTGCACTTGTTGCTACAGCATGTGCTTCCCAACGTGTATTAGAAAGACCTTTGAATACTCGATCATAGCCTAAATATGTTTTAAGAGCTGCCCGTTGGTGAGTAGAGGCAGCAAAAAATGTGTAGAGTAACTGAACAGTGGGGAAAAAAATCAACTGCTTCAGGACAACAATCTACTGCGCTACGCCCCACAAGATGAAGTGAATGCTCAGCACATGGTATGAAAATGGCACATTCATTACCTTCTACAATTTTCTGGCGTGTGCCTTTATAAGGCCCTGACGTATTGGCAGCATTGTCATAGGACTGCCTATGCACTTAACCCGTTGCCGTCGAGTTGATTCCGACTCATAGTGACCCTATAGGACAGGGTAGAATGCCCGATCGAGTGGGCTGGTGGATTCGAACCACCAACCTTTTGGTTAGCAGCCGAAGCACTTAACCACTATGCCACCAGGGTTTCCGGCCTATGCACTTAGAAAAATCAAATATTCAAACTTCAGGTAAATAGTGAAGTACTTGATTTGCAATTTCTACACCAGTATGACTTTTTAAGCTGGTAAATGTGATCAATCGCTCGACAGGTTTTCCATCTGTTGGAAATACATAACTTAAAACAATACTTAGCTGATCTGTATGAGAAAGATCAGGAGTGGAATCTACAGGCAAACTGAAATATCAAACTATACTTATTTCAATGAAAATAGTTGATTAAACTTCATCACTTACTAAGTTTATTGATTCTTCACATGTTGTATTAGACATATACAATGGGTTGCCCTTTCCTGTGTTACCATATTTTGAGATGTGACCTGCTAAAAATGGATCAAATTGAGCAACAAGTTCAAGTAAACCCCCCAAATTTCCATTTTGTGGAGACGCAAACACTTCATTTCTTCCTCAAAAAGATAGTCCACACTCAGCGACTGGTATAATGACAGCAACAACGCGTTGCAAAACGGCTTTCCAATACTGTCGTTCTTCATTAATTTGTATTTCCAGTTCATGAGTTAAGCCAAAACCACATCTTCAGTGTAAATATGACAACATACAATCTCTGTGAATTGAACTGTTTTCATGTTTATCAATCATATTCGAGTTGCACCAATCGCTAAATCCATCCATAGCAGATTGAGAATTAAATGATTTAGGACTGAATAGTTTGCAGACATTACAATATACAGAGCCGGCTGATGAAGAATACAGTAGCCACTCCCTCTTATAGTCTTCACCATTAGCTTTGCACCCTAGAAATATATTCTGGCTGTAGAACCTTGTTTGTTTACCTCCAGAAATTTTTGACGCGAATTTTCAAAGGGTTCACTCTGATGTTGATAATCGCTTGGCCCTCTTTTGATCCAATAATTTACATCATTAGAAGAAAAATTATTCCACCAAGCAGGATCTATATTTCTGCTATTTATGGGGTCTGCCAGTGAGACAATTTCAGATTCTAAAATAGTTTCACTTTCTACACCATTATTAGGCTTTTTTACTACACCAAGGAATCGGATGCAGAATTTGGAATAAACGCTGTTGTTTTTGCATCGCTAATAGTAATTTCAGCACTAGTGGTACTAGTACAACGATTCGCACCCATTAAACTTGGGCATTCAGTGGAAGAAGTCTCTTTTGATTCATTACGTTTTAAAAAGCAAGTTAATTTTGGAATTGTCTTTAGGGAGTCAAATCCTTTTCTTTTTATCTTCTGCGAGCTTTCGTTTTTTCGCTCCACTTTGTTGTTGCCGTTTCATTTTACCTGGGTATAAAATTATGTCACTTTTTAAATTTGGTTCTACCATACCAAATACATTTGAATAATTGAAAATAAATAAAATTTATAAAACAAGCAAAATTTATAAAACAAAATTTACATTCGGATCTGGACATTAACACAAAAATTTA